GGGGTGGCCCCCCCCCCCCCCCCCCCCGCCTCGGTGGGGGACCCACACTGGAGCAGTCTGTGCCTGAAGGACTGTCTCCTGTGGGAGGGACCCCACGCTGGAGCAAGGGAGGAGTGAGGTGTCCTCCCCCTGAGGAGGAAGGAGCGGCGGAGACAAGGTATGACAAACTGACCCCAACTCCCGTTCTCCGTCCCCCTGTGCTGCTGGAGGGAGGAGGTAGAGAATTTGGGAGTCAAGCCTGGGAAGAAGGGAGGGCTGTGGGGAAGGCATTTTAAGATTTGGTTTTATTTCTCATTATTCTATTCTGATTTGATTGGTAATAAATGAAACTAATTTCCCCATGTCGAGTCTGTTTTGCCCGTGATGGTAATTGCTGAGTAATCTCTCCATGTCCTTATCTCAACCCATGAGCCTTTAGTTTTATTTTCTCTCCCCTGCCCAGCTGAGGAGGGGAGTGGCAGAGTGGCTTTGGTGGGCCCCTGGCATCCAGCCAGGGTCAACCCACCACGGCAGGGTACTTGTATAAATAATATACACTTTGCTTTTCAGAAATGGATGACTGTAGGCTGCTTCTGTATGGCAGGGAACTGTAGCATCCCTTATGGAGCAGGGCAGGAAGATTGCTTTATTGTAAGGTGGGATTTGTGTTTGGGGCAGGATTAGCAGATTTGGGTTTTAAGCGTGGCATGCTGGCATGTGTAAAACCATGAAGGATGTTGTGTGTGGTGACGGAGATTGTGGTTTGTTACAGAATGTTGTTCCCCTGCAGAATACTGTATTGCCAAAGGTGCGTATGAGATGTACTTTTTTTCCAAAAATTATGAAATCCTGATAGCAAAGCACTGTATTGGGGGGGGGAGGTGAAAGCTATGTCATGCACAGAACAGACTTAGATGCTTGAGTGGCCGTGGGACGATGCCGGATGGGAAGAAGAGAAGAGCTGTAGGGATGAGCGGGGTGAGTTGTGGGATCGTGACGGTGGGGTGCGAAGGGAGAAGTTCGTTTGTTGGGGTGTGGGAAATGAGGGAGCGTGCTTGACGGCGCGTTGGTGCGTGCTGTTGAAGCAAGGGGAAGTTTGGCCCAAAAAACCCCAAACACTTCTGCGCATTGATAGTTCTGTCACCTGTGTTCAAGAAAGGCAGAATGGGAGCAGTTTTAAAGCAAAGGTTATGAGTGTGCTCAGGGAAGCGAGACCTCTTCTTTCACAAAAGGAAACCTGAAGAGTTTGGTTTGACTGAACTGAAGTGGTATTTGGAGAGGTTTGCTCTCTGGCTGCGTAGGGTTTGGAAAGAAAGTGAACTTTGTGGGGGAGGGAGAGCGAAGGAGGCTGGGAGCCCAGCAGACGAAGGGGTCACAGTCCCCTCTTTGAAATACGGGAGTCTGGGTTCTGATCCACAGAGTCCAGGCAGAGCCAGTGGTTCTAAGCAAGTTCATGAGGAGCTAATTAACGTGCTGGAGCACTAATTTAAGGGGTGGTTCAGGTGATTTCACAGTACGGAAGTACCTGTACAAGCTGTAACATTAGAGGTGCAGGAAGGCTTGAAAAATGTCGAGCGTGGTCCGGGAGCTGGCAGGTGAGGGATGTGCACAGACAGGGTCGATGATGCTTCAGCTCTCGGGTCTGTTGTGTGCAGCTGAACTATGCGAGTGGGAAATACTTGATGGTTGTTTGCTTCAGAGATTATCTCAAAGTGGTTTGCAGCGTAGTAAACATCACCCCGCGGAGAGGCCGTTCCTCCCCAGGGGGGAGCGCGGGAGGGCACTGAACTCTGCCGAAGCAGCGGTGGGAACCCCAGCGTTTCTCTGCGTTGGGATTCATGGACCGTGTCACCTTGGTGCAAAGCTCCCGACCTTGAGTTCTTGAAGACCTGGTGGGCATCGTACCTCTGCAAGAAGGCTGCTGATCCCCCTTGTTAAGTAGAAAAGCTGTGTTTTCATTTCACTTGGAAGATGGAAGGCAACGGAGCAGTCCTGAAGTTCTTTCTCTCGTTTTGGCTTTCCACACCGAGGGGAGGGAGGTCGGGTCGCCACAGCAGACGAGCGGCTGGTCCGTGTTCCTGCTGCTGTGCATCTGCCCCAGCATCGCCGTGCTGCGGCCGGCCCGTTCCCTTTGTTCTCCCGTGTGTACCAGCCGGCGTGCGCCTCATGATGCTCTTCAGCGCTGGCGTTTGTAAAGCGCTTTGAGATCCTGCAGTAAAAGTCTTGGCGGTGCAGAGCTCTGGCGCGTTTCATGCCTCTAGACCTTTTTTCCTGGAAAATCTTTCCTCTCATCGTACTGTTAACAGCCGGACGTGCAGTTGATGGAGCGGGAAAGCCCACTTCGCTGGGTGAACCAAGGCTTTCCCCAAGTGCCTTGTTTTTTAATTTCTGGTTCTGATCCGCAGCAGCCAGCATGGCTCACTGTCTTCAGGGCAAGTATCACGTTCTCTGGCTGACATAATGGACTTTACAAGGGGACGAATTAAATTAGTATCTCAGAAACGTACTATAAACCAGTTTTGATGGCACTAAGAAAAGTTAAGTGGAGGAATCTGTGCCTTCTGACGTATTCTCAGTTTTTAATTACAGTGGGTCTCTGTGGGTTCATTAGCTTTGTTAGTGCGATGGGTAGGAGTTAGCCGGGTGTTGGGAGCAGTCACTCCTGCCAGTCCTGGCCGGGGGACCGCTGTTGCTGCCATTTCCCCCTTTGGCTTCTCGGGTTGAGGATGAAAATGAACCTGAGTCAGTGCCGGCTTAACTTCCCTCATGGGGAACGTTGGCTTCCAGGCACGGACCGTCCGAGTCATCCGCTCACCCTGCTGTGGCCGTTGGGTAAAACTAACTTCAATTTATTTTAATGTCTTACATACGTTAGTGGAAACAGGTTCTGCTGGAAGGCAGGCAGGCGGACCATGTTGGCTGTTCTGCCAGCGCTTGTTCCGGGAATGTATTTTCTAGGATTTTAACAGACCAAAACCAAGGCACCCAGCGTCTGTTTTTTTTAAGAACGTGTTCTTCCCAAAACTCAACGTTTTCAAGAGTCCGTTGGCTCCAAAGAAGATGGAAAGGGGTAGTAACTGGAAGATGGAAACACCTTTGTTAAAGCAGAGGGGCCAGCCAAACTTAACCCCCTCTCCTAATGAATTTTGTTGTCCGTCGCAAGCGCAGAAGCGGGCAGGTCGCTGCCCTTGGCTGCCGCAGCGTTACCTCCCTGGTGCCACCGTGCTTTTAACCCACCGGCGCTGGAGCAGGTCTCCGCCATTCGTGCACGGGGAATCTGCCTTTTCAGATGGTCCTGAGCTTCCGATAGTGCCGCTTTGTTGGTACAACTGAGGGCAATTGTCTGCCCCGGGGCTGCGTGGCCCCTCTGTCCTGCCCTCGCCGGCGCAGCTGCCCGTCGGCAGCAGAGCGTGATACTGCCTTCATTGTGCAAACAGTTTGGGAAGTGCAGCGGGGAGGGAGGGAATCTGTCCTTAATTGCACATCATACTGATAGCGGAGTACTTAATAAACCTAACATTAGC